CCTTATCAAGCTAACATAGTAGGTATCCTAGCTTCTGCTCCTTACTCATCTATTGAAGGAACTCAACACTATATTGATTTAAGACATCATATAGCATTGGAAACTTTAATACAGTAGTTGAACAACAACTGTATCTGATATACTTCCAACATAAAGGTGATGGAATTCTTTCCTGTAAACATTCCAGAAGTTAAAAAGATTTAGAAATGTTATATTTATACAACTAGCGATGTCTTAATGTCAGTTAATAATCTTACACTGTTTTTTTTTTCTTTTCGTCGCATGGGAGTTTACAAATCTGTGAAAATAGATGTTTGATAATGATAAACAAAATATAGTGTTTGCCAAAAAAAGGATATCAGTAGGTATATGCCCAAGTTTTTACACTAAAAATTAACCAATTGTGGTTTGTATTTTTTGCAGTATTATTTCTCAATGTCTTATAAATGGCTTGAAATAGTTTTTACTTCAGGTTTTTCTTGTTGCTTGTCTGTTGACGAAAGAAAAGTATTACATTTAAAGCGCTTACGTCACAGAAGATATTTGCAATTCCACAAAAGCTCTCGCAGATATCTGTACACTTTTATTGTTTAGAAAAGAAGAAATACTCGATAAATGAAGTTAGAATTCTCATAAATCTTTTTACAATTTTCAGTATTTTTTATCACACAATGAAGTAGTAGTCTACCATGTTCAAATGAATAGACAGAGAATCTGGTTGGTGGCTCAAGATAGACAGATAGATTAACTACATTATTTTTTGTTTACTATTCCATACAGACACATAATTTGTTTTATGGTTCCCCAATTCCAAACTGTTTATCATAAGTTCATCTTAATATCAATAGTAATATTCTTTATGATACATTAAAAGTAGTATTTAACAGTGGGAACACCTGGGAAAAGTTATATTTAATAAAGAGAATAATAAGAAAAGATAATTTAACGCATAAACGACTAGTGATAAGACTGAGTCTGCGTAATCAATAACATAATTGAGTAGCATATTCAGAATGTAATACTATTTATCAAAACATTCGATAGGCCATTTGATCCCATGCGAAGAAAAAAATATTATAAAAAAAACACGATAGGAGCTTGCAGTTTAACTGAAGTTCATAGGCCCCTGGCACCCCGGGATGCTACTCGGAGGCGTCATGTCGCGACAGTGTGCTTTACATCGACCGCGTGTCGTTTGGTGTATATATTCTCGCGCCGCGATTTTGTCTCGACAAGTTTGAACTTGCTTTATGACGCAGGGCTCGAGGAATTTTCGCATCAGCTGTGCGTTAATTGAGTATCCCAAATCAATCAAATATTTTATAGCATACCTTAAGCTACCACAACACCCCTTAACGTTGGTTGTTCAGGCACGGTATATGAAGTGAATTATTTAATACATTGTGATGGGTAACCTATCCCTATGTTAGTCTATCGGACTAGGTAGAACGTGGAAACAACAGTTCCAAAATTCACAGTGATAACCTCAGAGATAATCGTATGTAAGAAATTAATAGGAACGGAATTTTCCTAATGTATAGTACGACCAAGTGTTTCGAGCACGTGTTTGAACTACATATAACAAATTGAAGGATTATAATACGATTTGATGTGGTATAAAATATAGGGATAAAGTTTTGGCCCGTAGCGATGTGTTATCATTAACGGTGGACTGCATCCATATGTCCATAGATAGTTTTGTACCCACGTATCAAAGTAAAGTTACGAATACATGCTCAGAGAGCGATTAGCCCTCACACTCACAGAGTAAAGATGCTAACACACTTCGTGTAAGTTAGGTAGACAAAATTTTATTAAGGTTTGTCAGTAAACGTAGGGTAAGGTTTGTAAGCTCATCCAATATAAGGTTTATCAAAACAACCAGTGTAAGAATTCTCAATACTTCCAAAATAAAGTTTGTCAAGCACATCCAGATTAAGTTTGTCAACAATGTGGTAGTTGTCAATATACCCAGAACAAGGTTTGTCAGAAAATCCAGAAGTAGGCTTGTCAATACTCCC